CACCAGTTTTCTCTCTTGTTGACTCGTTGAGGTCGGGAAAGAGGGTGAGCAGCCCGCGGGAAGACGAGGCCATTTTCTGGGCAACAGAGTGTTACAGAGTTTCTTCCTCAATCTATTCATTAAGTCCTCATAAGTGTCGACAAAATCACGTATGATCTCAACATGCGAGCGACATACAACAATTCCAGAAACACAGAGCCACATGGCCAAAGCCAACCCCCCAATGGCTGGGACAGTGATCAATATTGGCATAATAACAGTAAGTACACCCAAGAACAAACTTAATTTGTTCACTATCACATGCCTTATGCCGTTGGTTTGGAGTACATATTCCGCCGACAGTGATGAAAAATAGGTCAAAATAACGACAATGAATGCTACCACCCCTCCATAATGTGTTTCAAATGGTTGATACATTAATTGGAGGGTGGCACCCTCCAATACCATGAAAACCTTACAAATTTTGTGGAATTCATTAGAAGAATTAGCTTTCGGTTCCCTACAACACAAGATAATGAAATGAGAATTAGAATACAAAATAAAGGGTTAAATGTAATACAATTGAATTCACAGGGGTGGCACCGAATGGGCACACAAAGAAAAGGGCAAACAAGGTAGTAGGAATGGTAAAGGGGTGGCAAATGCAATGCCAATTCAGACACAGGAACCCAGCCAAATCCGCTACCAGTTAGTGATTTAGGTTTACTTATTGCTGAACCAAGATTGGGTGTTTAGGGTTCAATTTTTCAGAGATACTATTATTTAAGTTCCACTGTGTTTGTAAGAAATAGCTCATCCGATCCCTGGGGTAGTTTGTTATGTATGTTGTACTCTACTTATTTTTCGGGTATTTAAAGATGTCTCAAGATACTGCTAGAGGTAGAAGGAAGCCACTGGAATTAAAATGTGGATATATTTATTATGTATCTTTTTGTTAATCTATTTGAAATCTTATTCTAAAACAAAAGAGAACAAGAAAACCAAAACCAAAATTGTTTTGTGATAGATAGAGTGGATTTGAATCACCAATACGCAACAACCTTTGGTTCATTTTTGGAGGAATTCTATCTGTCTAAAACACCCCGCTCGAGCGGCCACTCACAGACTTCCGCTCGAGCGGCCAACCTCCCGCTCGAGCGCAGAATGCACTCGCCCAGCACTTTTGCAGAACCAGGCCTCCGCTCGAGCTCCCAATCCCTACGCTCGAGCTCACAACACTGTACAACAAGATACTGGATGGATGTATTCCCCGCTCGAGCGCCAACACCTCCGCTCGAGCGTACAGGCCAAAAATCTGGGCAACTAGTTTTGGTTTCTAAACTCAACCAACCTGTAACAAACCCGCTCAACACATCCTATAACTCAAATACAAAGTAAGAAAGGATGTAAACAAGATAATAAACAACTACCAACATCCACGGACACATGTCCGGATCACTATACAACAAGGGTAAACCCGGGATCGCTATATTTTCACATTTTTCAGACCGCTCGAGCGAAGGAGTGTGCATTCGTGCAACCACTCACATTTAGTATGTCTGCTCGAGCGAAGAAAGCTACGCTCGAGCGAGACCCCTGTTTTCAGCATGTTTTAAAAAACATTTTCAAGTACATTTTTGCATCCTCTTTCCATCCTAGGCATTCCTAAGTCATGATTAAGACATCATAATAGGGATAATGAAGTAGAACCACACCAAAACAAGTAGAAAGGACTAAGTTATCAATTCTGAGTGTATAATTTAGTATACGTTTGTTCTGTAACTGTGTAGGTTACGCACCTCAAAGAAGCTGAATAGCCTACTTACAACCCTGTTATCTGTGAGTAACAATATTGTAAAGCTATGTTCAATTATAATTATTTTCTGAACGATTGACTGTACTGTTTTCTGAAATGATATTATTTACCGAATGAATGTTTGTCCTATTTTATGAACTGTACTCGTGGCATCCATAGCAACTGACTATTACCATTATTGTTACTGCTACTGTTACGGAGATCTCTGTAAGTTCCTATCCATAGAACTACTGTTACTGTATTGATGGCCATCAACTGACTGTTTGGTCTATTAAGACCTACTGTATTGTTCTGCTATTGGATGTACCACATATGATTGCTATGATTTCTAAATGAATGATATGACATTGAATGAATAACTGACCTGCAGATACGCATGACTCTTTTATACTCTGAAATGACATTCATTCTTAACCCCTTTATACATTTGTTATTCACTAGGCTTTAGCTCACAATTTATTGTATATATGTAGATGGCCAGGCATCGGATCAAAGCTACAGGTGTCGACCCGAGCTCACGTTTTGTCAAGCCAGTCGTTGTGTCTCATAACAAGGTCCCGAACTTGCACGAGTCAAGGCTTTTTGGGTGATTCAAATTCACCCTTTTGTCTTTAGTAATGTAAAGAATGTTTAAGACTCCTGTTTATATAGTTTTTGATGATGGGATCACGTCCCTAAGTTGCATATTGTCTTGCATATGTATTCTTGGTATAAGTGGTTGTGAATATGGTTGTGTACATGAAAGTTTATTTCTATTCAGGTCCCCACAGCTTATTAGACATCATCCTATTATTGATTGGCTTCTGCCAGCCCCCTTTATACTGTATTATTGTCATTACTGTTAAGCAGGCCTTTGGTAATCACGGATTACTGGCCGATACGATGCTAAACCCTTAGGAGCGGGTTTGGGTCGTGTTAGAGTGGTATCAGAGCATGAGTTAGACCGCACACACTTGTCCAAATGAGCTATAGGATGTCCTAGAAAGGTAATTAGGGCATTGCATGAGCATAAGAAAGTGTGTGTGGTCATGATATGTATATATGTGCTAATGTGAATAAGTAAGCTATTTTTCCAATGTTTATTATTACTGTGTTGTACATAGTGCAATGGAGAATGCAAGGAATACAGATGAACCTGAATCATCTGAAACAAGAATTGCAAGATTGGAAATAATGGTTGAATTATTGACTGAGGCACTAAAACAATAACAGAACCAGCAGCCCCTACCCCCTCCAGTGCAGCCGGAACCAAATGCCAATGATGATGTCCTTGCTTTGACACAAAAGTTTAACAAAATGAAGCCACCAACATTCCAGGAAGGTCTTGAGCCACTGAAGGCCGAAGCATGGGTCCTAGAAACTGAAAAACTGTTTGAAGTATTTCCATGTACAGAGGAACATAAGGTGTTATCGGCTACTTTTACTTTACAAGAAGAGGCTAGGCGGTGGTGCATGCTTATTCGTGATACAAACAATGTTATGACTTGGGCTCAGTTTAAAGAAGCTTTTTATGAGAAGTATTTCCCTCAGTGTGTCCGAGACCGCAAAGTGACTGAATTTGAACAACTGAAACATGGCACCATGTTAGTAGCTGAATATGAATCTAAGTTCACCAAGGTTGCCCGATACGCACCACACATGGTGGATACCGACTATAAAAAGGCTAGAAAGTTTGAAGGTGGGCTTAATGTGGAAATACTCGATAGAATTAATGTCTTGAAATTACTCAAGTATGTGGATGTCCTTGATCAAACGATCATAGCTAAGGCAAATGTTGCAGCATTGAAACAGTCTAAGGCACCGGTGACTTAATCGCAGGGCAAGAGACAAAGTTTTAGTTTCAAAAAGGGCCGGAACAACTCATTAAATAAAAAGCAAAATACAGGGTCAACAAGTAGCTCCAGTCAAGGAAATAATTCCATATCACCTTGTCCAGAATGTGGCAAAAGACATAAAGGGGTTTGTTACAAAATTTCTGGGGCATGTTATAGGCGTGGCAAGGTGGGCCACATGGTCAAAGATTGTCCTCTCACATCTCAAGGCACTAGTAAACTCGTAGCAAGTGCTGCAGCATCAACTGTTACACCAAAACCCAATTCGAAAGCTACCGGAAAGGAACCTTTGAGGCAAGGCCAGGTGTTTGCACTTGTACCAGGAGACGTGCAGAATACTGAGGCAATTGTGTTAGGTATACTTTCAATTTGTGCTCAAAATGATTATATTCTAATTGATTCGGGGTCTACACACTCGTTTGTCTCGCATGCCTTTTCACGAAAATTAAATAGACCACTGGAACCCATGACTATTTATTAGTTATATCTTCACCTACTAGGGGATCTATGACTTGTGCTTATGTATATCCTGCGTGTGAGATTGTTATTGGGGATGTGCTTTTATATGTTGATTTGCTACCTCTGAATCTCGATAATTTTGATGTAATTTTGGGAATAGATTGGTTAATAAAATATCATGCCTCCATTGACTGTGTAACAAAGAAAGTTATTTTTCATCCACCGGGATTGCCTGAATTTAGTTTTAATGGGGTTGGTGTTGTACCTCCCCCATACTTGATTTCATCTATGAAAGCATCCAACTTGATTAAAAAGGGGTGCAAAGGATATTTATGTTGTATACTAACTGTGCCTACTAATACTAAAGCTAATGTGGACAGTATTCTATAGTTAGAGAATTTCTAGATGCTTTTCCAGATGATTTGCTTGGGGATTTGATTGACAGGGAGATTGAGTTCACTATTGAAGTGATACTGGGTAGACAGCCAATTTCCAAAGCTCCGTATAGGATAGCATCTACTGAATTGAAAGAGTTGAAAATCCAGTTACAAGAGTTGTTAGACAAGAGGTTCATCAGAGCTAGCCCGTCACCATGGGGCGATCTAGTTTTATTTGTGAAAAAGAAGGATGGTTCATTGAGGCTTTGCATTGATTACCGTGAGCTAAATAAGGTGACAGCAAAAAACAAGTATCCGTTGCCTCGCATTGATGATTTATTTGACCAATTGCAAGGTGCTCAAGTCTTTTCCAAAATTGATCTTCGATCCGGGTACCACCAATTGAAAGTCAAGGCTGAGGACATTGAAAAGATTGCTTTTCAAACAAGGTATGGACATTATGAATTTCTTGTTATGCCTTTCGGAGTTCCTAATGCGCCTGCTGCATTTATGGATCTTATGAACAGAAATTTCAAGCCATTCCTTCATGAATTTGTGGTTGTTTTTATAGATGATATCTTGATTTATTCCAAAAGTAAAGAGGAACATGAACTTCATTTGAGGATTGCTTTGCAAACCTTAAAAGAGAAGAAATTGTATGCAAAACTGACAAAGTGTGAATTTTGGCTTGATAGTGTTATGTTTTTGGGCCATGTAATTAGTAAAGATGGCATATTAGTTGACCCACAGAAAATTGAAGCAATGATGAATTGACCTAGACCGATTAATGTTACCGAAGTCTGAAGTTTCTTAGGTCTGGTCGGGTACTATCAAAGATTCGTGAAAGATTTTTCTAAAATTGCTTTGTCATTAACTCAGTTGACTCAAAAGGGAATACCATTTGACTGGACCATTCAAAGTGAATCAGCCTTTCAAGAATTGAAGACTTGACTTGTGACTGCACCGATTCTCACCTTACCCTCAGGTATGGATGAATTTATTATTTTTAGTGATACTTCTTATAAGGGTTTGGGGTGTGTATTGATGCAGAATGGTAAAGTCATTGCATATGCTTCCCGACAATTGAGGCCACATGAAAAGAATTATCCAACTCATGATCTGGAGCTTGCTGCAGTAGTATTTGCGTTGAAAATTTGGTGCCACTACTTGTACGGGGCAACATGTAAGGTGTACACAGATCATAAGAGTTTAAAATATTTCTTTACACAGAAAGAGTTGAACATGAGACAACGGAGATGGCTAGAATTAATAAAAGATAATGATTTACAAATCTTGTATCATCCGGGGAGAGCTAACACTGTTGCTAATGCACTCAGTAGGAAATCAATTCGGAATTTGGCATGCTTACTTACTTGGCAAAGAGAATTGCTACACGACCTTGAGAAATTGGAGGTTGAAATTGTTCTGCGAGAACAAGGCAGAACCTTGGCTGCTATTTCTTTTCAACCAGCACTTATTGAGGAGATTAAAGAGAAACAACAACAAGATGACTTTTTGAAGAAGATTATTGATGAACAGGAATTCAAACCAAGGCCAGGATTTGTTTTTGAACATGGTGTGCTAAAATATCAAGGTAGATTGTGCGTACTAAACGATGTTGACATGAAAAAGTGAGTTGTGCAAGAAGCTCACAGTTCAAAACTTTCCATTCATCCAGGGAATGCAAAAATGTACCAAGACTTGAAGCTTAACTTCTGGTGGCCAGGAATGAAAAGAGAAATTGCTGAGTTTGTGTTAAAATGCTTACAATGCCAACAAGTCAAAGCTGAACATCAACGGCCCGCAGGATTGCTTCAACCTTTACCAATATGGGAGCATATTACCATGGATTTCATTGTTGGACTACCTCATTCCAATAGAGATATGGACTCAATTTGGGTTATTGTGGATTGTTTGACTAAATCTACACACTTTTTACCTGTCAAAATAATCTATAATGCGGATAAATTGGCTACAATTTACATCAATGAGATTGTTAGATTGCATGGAGTACCTATATCCATTATTTCTGATAGGGACTCGAAGTTCACATCAAGATTTTGGCAGAGTCCACAAATGGCGTTGGGTACCGAATTGAGATTGAGTAGTGCATATCATCCTCAGACCGATGGCCAGTCAGAAAGAACAATCCAAACGCTGGAGGACATGTTACGTATGTGTGTGCTTGATTTTCAAGGGAATTGGGAAACTCATTTGCCTTTAGCTGAATTTGCCTACAATAATAGCTTTCATTCGAGCAATGGTAAGGCGCCTTTCGAGGCATTATATGGTAGAAAATGTCGATCACCTATTTGTTGGGCAGAAGTTGGAGATGGGCCTTTACTTGGGCCTGAGATTGTGCATGAAACAATAGAAAATGTGAAATTAATTCAACAATGACTGAAAACTGCACAAAGTCGACAGAAAAGCTATGTGGATGTACGAAGACGAGACAGGGACTATGAAGTGGGGGATCATGTTTTTATTAAAATGACACCAATAAAGGGATAGACTCGCTTTGGAACCAAGGGCAAGCTAGCAACGAGGTATGTTGGGCCGTATGAAATCATTGAAAAGATTAATCCAATGGCATATCAAGTAGCACTCCCTCCCGAAATGGAATATATGCATAATGTCTTTCATGTTTCGATGTTGCAGGACAATCTTTGGGATCTATTTCATGTTATTAAGCCTACCCATGTGGTATTGAGTGACGAATACACTTACGAAGAACGACCTATTTAGATTGTAAACCGACGAATCAAGAAGTTGAGAAATAAAGAAATCCCATTAGTGAAGGTGGATTGGCAAAATCATGGTGGCGTTTACGCAACTTGGGAGAGGGAAGAAAACATGATGAAAAGATATCCTGAGTTGTGTCCATTGAATCCGGTGTTCTTCCAAAATGAAGGTAATTCGAGTTTGGAGGACCAAACTCTTTTAAGGAGGGGAGACTGTGACAACCCCGACCCATGATTAATGTTAATTCATGATTAAGCATGTTAAGTAAATGATTAAGACGAAATCCTAAATTAATTACATGAGTGTGTTGCTTTAAATGCATTTTTATTTATTTGATGTAGAAAGACCTGTTCATGTTTTAGTTTCGATTTTCGAATTGAAGGCCTTATCAGCATCCGATTCAGAAATTGACTTGATTTGTATGTTAATTAGGATTTATAGAATTTTATGGTAAGTTTGATTAAAATTCGAATCGGAATGAATAAATTAGAATAATTAGTGCCAATGTGATTAACATAAGTCAATTTAATTAAGTCACTCTAATGAAGCCTATATAAGGCTACTTTGACTTCTTTACTTGGTTTACACTCTCATTTCCTACTCTTTGATGCTCAAACACATGAGAAAGGGGGAGAGTAGGGAGATTTAGTCTTAGGCATGATAATTGAACTCAATTGAAAGGAATTGCTAGAATAGAAGAAGGGACCTTGGAGATTGATCATCTAGCCCAATAATTTGGCATCTAGGACCCAATTGAACATCTAAGGTAAGAAGTCAAGTCTCTAGTCTTTAAATTAAGTTGATTCATCCATGAATTCAAGTGAATTGAGCTATGAGATACAAGAATTAAGCTTAAGAAGTAGGAAGGAAGATTAATCCATGCATGCATGTTCATTTCATTACATTTGGAGCATGTTTGCTAAGAATTCCCTCATGCATGTCATATATTGAGCTTAATTGTAGGAAATCATCATGTTTTCTATCAATTGGTGAAGTTTGATCATGTTTTGAAGTGCTGGAGTTCAAGAGAATTCATGCATGTTGTATTCTTGAAGCATTCATAAAGTTTACGTTGAATTTGTGTACAATTGGCATGCTTTTGGGCTTTGATTTTATGAAATGGTCTTTAAATCATGATGTGTTGTGAGTTTCTAAGTGTTTTCCAAAATTTTGGCCCAAAAGAATGAGTTTTGCAGTGCTGAATTCAAGGTTTGCAATTTGGAGGCAAATCTGGAAAACCCAGAATTTCGCCTCTACGCTCGAGCGAAGGATTCCACGCTCGAGTGACCGCTTGCATTTTCACACTTCCGCTCGAGCGACAAAAGGTTGGCTCGAGCGTAAATTGCATGCTCTTAGAAGTTTGCGCGTTTGGAAGCACGCTCGAGCAACAAGACTTGCGCTC